TTTGCTCCCAGGCATCAGATCTTGGAATTGAAATGGCCCGAGAATGCTGTGCGATACCAGCAGAAACTTATGTTACGGATGAAGCTCGGCAAGTTGATGGTGGCAGTGTGACAGAACCACCAGGCCAATCTCATGCTGGAGACGAAGACCAGGACTCTGCAAAAGATGTTTCTGCATCATTATCCTCCCCAACAGTTTTGCAATCGCAGACATCAAATACAAAAGTGAAAAAACAGAAGTGGAAAAATTCACAAGCATCAGGTTCATCGTTACCATCAGCAAGTATGACCAATTCCATAGATTCCACCAATGAACATGGTGGGAGTTCAAGCCTACCCTCTGCAGAAGCAGCATACCCGCAAATTATGGCCATGCAGGATACGGTTAATCAGGTAACCGCTAATTCCCATACATTAATGTTTGGCATATGAATTATTCTCCACATGACAACTGAAAATTTTCTTTTATTGTTTGAAGACTACTCATCCTGTATATTGACAAAATAATGCTACTGCCTCAGTGCCTCTTCACTGCCTCTGTTAATCTTTGTCTCTTTCACTTTGGAACATGTCCTATTTCAGATGGATTTTCTTGTCCTAGTTCAGATGTTTTCTTCTTTTTTTTTGGGAAAAGTGAGAAAGTTGTAAATGGTGCAGTGTGAGTTGTGTGGTTGATATGTGGACTGGAACTGTATTTATTTCTAACAGCCTTTTCTTAACTTTTTCTACTTTTCTGTTTGTGCAGCTACTGACCATGCAGAAAGAAATGCAAAAGCAGATAACAATGATGGTCACAGCCCCCGTTACAAAGGAAGGGAGGAGATTGGAAGCTGCTCTTGGGAAAAGTATGGAGAAGGCTTTAAAGGCCAATAATGATGCTCTATGGGCTCGTTTTCAAGAAGAGAATGCAAAGAATGAGAAGTTATTGCGAGACCGTAATCAGCAAATAACCAGTTTGATAAATAACTTAATGAACAAGGACTTTCCAGTCATGTTGGAGAAAGTGGTGAAGAAGGAATCATCTGTGATTGGACCAGCCGTTGTTCGTGCTATAACTCCAGCTATTGAGAAGGCAATACCTTTGGCTATTTCTGATTCCTTCCAGGTTGGAACTTTGGATGATTTGACCCCTTCTTAATAAAGCTGGCCTAGAATTCTATATGATTTGGTATCTTTTATAATAAAGTTCCCTTGTAGTTATTTAATTGACTCTTGTGCTGCAGAGAGGAGTGGGTGACAAGGCTGTTAACCAATTGGAGAAATCTGTTAGCTCAAAACTTGAAGCTACTGTTTCCAGGCAAATTCAGGCGCAGTTTCAAACTTCTGGCAAACAAGCTCTTCAGGTGTGTATTTGCCCATGTCAGCTTAATTTTCTTGTATTTGTAATTTGAATATGTAACATTTTACCTTGGTTTTGACAATTTGTTTACTGATAATATGACCTGTGCACACAGGATGCTCTTAAGTCTAGTATGGAAACTTCAGTAGTACCTGCCTTTGAGAAGTCATGTAAGGCCATGTTTGAGCAAGTAGATGCTACGTTCCAGAAAGGAATGGTTGAACACACAACTGTGGCCCAGCAGCACTTTGACTCCACACATTCGCCATTGGCACTGGCTCTAAGGGTGCGTATGCTTTTACCAAGTTCAACCTTTTTCTTTTTGATAATTTTTTGTTGACAAACTTCCCATCTCTTATATTTGAACAGTTATAATCCTTAGGGTCTTAGGATATATTCAGAAAACAAGTGAAATATCATGTGCTTCTTATGAAATACAGTGAGCCAAATATGATGTTTGCACGATGATTTTGTTTGATGTTTTATGTTTAACTGAATGCAAGCTGATATATCCAGCTTTGGTGTGTGTGGGCTCGTACCAATTTCCATCTATGATTAAAATTTTACAAACTACGGTTCTCCATGCATGAGACTAGCATCCAACGTTTTGATTCTTTCCCTATTATTGTACAAGGTAAATATCATTAGAGACAAAAATATGATAGTTTGTTATGACTGAAGAGATGATTCTGTATTGTAAGAGACAATTATTTTCTTTCGAGTAAACTCTGATATCTTTTGGGAATGAAGTTTTATTGGTTTTCCTTTGCTTTTGCTATTCCTTCTGATATCCACTGCATGGCTTAATATGGTTTGTATTTTCATCTGTTTCTGTAATTGATTTTATATTTTGATGATATTTGCAGGAAGCTATTAATTCTGCATCATCGGTTACTCAAACCCTAAGCGGAGAAGTGGCTGAGGGTCAACGTAAGCTCATAGCTCTTGCACGAGGAAACTCAAGTGCAGTAAATCCTTTGGTCACACAACTCACTAATGGCCCTTTGGGTGGTCTCCATGAGAAGGTTTGTTGGATCTTAACCAAATGTTCAATTTTATTGAATGAGGGTTGGTTGGTTGGCTATTTTAATCATGAAAAGCAACCTATTTTTGCGTGATAGGTTGAGGTACCCTTGGATCCAAAGAATGAGCTATCAAGGCTGGTATCTGAACGCAAGTACGAGGAGGCTTTCACAGCAGCTCTGCAAAGAAGTGATGTTTCCATCGTATCGTGGTTATGCCATCAGGTATGCTTTAGATGATATCCGTGGTGGTTATCAGAGATTCTGAGCTTGCAAAAGATTACCAGCCCGACACATTCTTACGATTTTTTTTTTCTTCCAGGTTGATCTGCATGGGATATTGCTGTTGAATCCTGTTCCTCTTAGCCAAGGTGTGCTTCTTTCTCTTTTGCAACAGCTGGCCTGTGATATCAGCAATGATACACCCAGAAAAGTTGCGTGGATGACGGATGTGGCGGGCGCCATAAACCCGGCTAACCAAATGATTGCGATGCACGGTCGGCCCATATTTGAGCAAGTTTATAGTATACTGCACCATCAACATGCCTTGCCTACGATCAACAGTGCCGAACACACTAGTATCCGACTTCTCATGCATGTCATCAACTCCATTATGATGGCCTGTAAATGATCATACTTCGTTCGAAAAACCTACCATTCTGCAAGAAACAATTGTTATATGGACATTTTGTACAAAAATCTGCTGTGATCCCTTATGAAAAAAGTTACCGAACTGTAGAGTCAGTTTTCGGCGAATTGGATGCGTAGGCTTATTAGGCATTTCGGTTTCTTTGCTTCGAGCTACTCTGTATTCATCTTCTTTTTTGTTTAGCTTTCTCTTGCTTGTCATAGCTCCTTGTAAACGTGCAATTTTGTGTATTCTTCACTCTTGTGAATGCATCTGTGTTGATTTTTGTTTAAATTTTGGGGTGTGCTGTCCACGCATCATTTTTTATTTCTTACACACCTCTTATTAATTTATGCCCTTTGATCTTATTCAATTCATCTGATCCGACGACCGAAAATTAAAAGCATGTGTGGATATCACACCCCTAAATTTTAGTTGTATCTTTCAAGGCCAGAGGGTCGAATGTGGTTTATTGCATATTTTCTTGAAGATTGTACGAGGGAATACTGTCAATTTTGTTGTTTAGCAACCGGAAAGAATAAACCTCCCATGCGGTTAGAAATTGCGATTATGAAAGAGGTTCAGGGTAAAAATGGCAAAGAAAAGATCTAGAAATACTTGGAAAAAGACTTAAAGGACATGAAGTACTTGAAGCTAACGAAACATTTAGTGTAAAATTGAGGCAGTGGTGTTTTATAATTCATTTAACCGATTTCACTTATCAGGATAAGACTGTTGCATGAAAGTAGACAATAATTTCTAGACAAGGTCCCCAATATAGTGTGATGAAAGTCAATAAAGATGACCATTACTATCATGCTTTAGGAAGTGAGGTGATATATTGTTGTACCAATACTACTTACAACTAACATATGCTTTATTTGTTTTTATTCGTTCCTATGCTACCTCGCGTGGTGGTTTGTTTCTGTGGGATATTTATAGTCCTGAATTTCTTTTTAATATTCTTGCTAAAGACGTAAACGTTTCTATTAGAATTTAATAAAATTTATCCTTTGACCAAAAAAAAAAAATCTCTTTTAAATTTACTAAATTGTGTGTACAAGGCAAATAAAATGGTCACACTCAAATAATTTATGGGGCAGAATTATCTACAAAGAAAAATAATTTTGTACACTCTGTTTATTTTTATCCATCGGTTCTTCTTTACTTATATTCGATTCCAAAATTGAAAACAAAAATTGGTGTATCAGCGACATTCCTCATTTACAAATTATTACATTCGTTAAACTTGTAGTTAAATTGCCAAACCATTTGTTTTCTATACAAGTAATAGTTGAGATATGAGAATTATACGTAGAACCTCGAATAGAAAAGTAAATGTTTTTAACTACTCGAACTACAATCCTTTACAATTAAATTGTGAAATTTAAAACTCCGTCAAATGATTCACGCTAATAAACGTAATATAAACTACATATTAGTACAATTATAATATCAACCCAAAAACCAAAAGAATTATTATTATCTGCTTTTATACATAACTAAAATAAAATATTAAAAACGAAAAAAATGTGACCATTAAAGTAATTTTGCACAAACAATTATTTTTCTAATCTCACAATCACATCACTCTATCAATACGCTAAACTCACTCTTTCTCCATCTTTATCTTCGCATTTGCACGCCACGTCAACTTTTCCTTCCACTTTTTCAAACCTCCCCAATTCAACTTTTCCTTGCACTTTTTCAAACCTCCCCAATTCACTAGTGTTTTAAACATATTTTGACATTAATTAAAATCTAAATCCTTTTAAAACTTTATATGTGACTTTTAAAACTTTAAATCACATATAATGTCTACCGCTCAATTTCATTTGATTGAATAGTTGACCCAACTCTTTATTATTTGAATAAACCTGCTGCTTCAATTGGTATTTTTTTCACGAAAAACAAGCATGAGATAACAAATTCAGTCTTTCACTAGTACTAACTATACGTGAATTAAAAAAAAAAATTGAATTCAAAATTGACACAAACAAATAAATAAATAATTAAAGATAATAATTTCCGTTCAAAATTCATTCACTTCGTACGCCCGTCGTCATAAAAACATTTACAAAAAATTTCCCTACATTCTAATTTTTTTCTATTTACACGTCAGATTCTAACAATTTCTTTTCTTTCTCAAGAAAGGAAAAAAAAATATTAAACACAACGAAAGGCAGCGCCGGCTGAGTCAGCGGCGAGTCTGGTGGGCCCGGATCCTATTAGCTTTACGTTTCTCTACCAGCACTGGTCCGTTTCCCACCTCCGGGTCGAGTAAAACCCGTCGGTTCGAAACCCGACCGAGTGTCTCCGCCGATTAAAATTAATGTGATCAGCGCCCAACGACGTGTCATACACCTCCCGGGCCGCCGGATCGGACAGCGTGGTGTAGGCGTTGTGAATCTGGATGAAATCCCGGCCGTCGGACCCCGACCGCGACGCGTCCGGGTGGTATTGCTTGGCCAAGCTCCGGTACGCCGACTTGATCTCCGTTGGCGACGCGTTGGCTGTGACTCGGAGGACCTCGTAGAGACTCGCCGCGGAGGCACGGTGCCGCGGCTTGGCCTCGGCGAACGCCTGGGCGGAGTAGGCCTTGATCTGGAAGCTGCGCCGCTGGGGCAGGGGCATTTTTGGAAGGGGGCTTGCGGCCGAGGGGAAGAGGGTTGTAGACATCGGGGATTTTGGCGGTCCTGCGGAGGGCAATTTGGGACTCGGAAGAGATTTGGGGGAGGGGGAGGAGGAGGACGGTGTGAATACAATTTTTGAAAGGGGTATAAATATCTGTGTGTGGGTGTTGTGGGTTAAGGGGGCGCTGACATGGCACTTGTTCCAGCACAGTTCATATTTGTTGCTTCTAGAAGGAGTCCGGATCCTCGCTGGATATTTTTTGTGTAGATTTCAAGAATATGTGAATCGTGTTCGTTCGTCGTACATCGTGCGGTCATAAATTATTTTAAATATTTTTATTTAAAAATAAACATAAATAGTACTTGATAAAAACTGATCGCACGATGTATGATGAACGAACATAATTTACAGATCTCCAGAATCCTTACCAAAAAGAAACGGAGAGGACCCTGTTGGTTCTAGAAGAACAAGATTTACCCAATTTACATTGTTTTAGTTAATAGTAAGTTGATTTTTGTTTTTAACTATTTTTACTCTCACTTGTCATGATAGTAGATTACGGTTTAGAAGTCTTCTTCTATTTATAAATAATTGGTTTCAAATTGGATTGTTATTAATATCGAGTTTAATGCTTTGGTATAGTCGGATAAACGGTCTTCGTGATGATAAGGTGATCGGAATATAGCTCTCGTGGTAAAAAAGTTAGGATTTAAATTAAATCTTTGTGATGCGTTAGCAAATTTAGTCTAAAAGTGATTTTTTCGTTTATTGTTTATTAGATACATGGATAAAAATATACTTTGTAGTGTGCACCTTCTTCTTATCCATGAAGATCAATTTAATTCAAGTAAGAAGCTCATCAAACACATGATTTATGAACGCCAATATCTATATTATAAAAGGGGTGTGTTATTTACACACTCATTTTTACTTCTCATACATCTCTTGGTAATTTCTGTCCGTTGATCTTCTTCAATTCATTTGATCTGACAGCCAAAAACCAAAAAAATGTGAAAGAAGTAAAAAGGAGTGTGTGAATATCACATCTCATTATAAAACTCCAATTCACTAACACATTCGTTACATAATTCTTCTTCAATATTACAATTTTGACAAAAGTAAAAAGGAAGTAAGTTTATATTAATAATGAAATGGTTGTAGATATTTTTGTGAGGGTATGATGATGAAGATGGGAAAGTCAAGTGACCATATTTTGTAGGGTATGCCTTGTATTTAGGCGGGACATTTCGAGTGACATCACACAAGTCACAAAAAGACATCAAGTTTTCTAATTTCTACACACACTGCTCGACAGTGTGGTCCTGGACTGTAGCAAACCGAGCAAACTCTTCTCTCTGACGTGCCCTAGTTTCTAGAAGGCCAACCAATTCAAGAACCCTCACAATTTTGATTCCCCAAATTCAAGAACCCCTTGGACCAAGATCAAGCTTCAAGAAAATGACCACTCACCTTAATAGCATGGTCCTTCCCTTTTTTTAACTTGTGTATAATATTTGTGGTTAAAAGTTTATAATTCAATTGGTTCGGAATGTTTACTTTTTAAACACGAGGTCATAGGTTTTATTTGTATTACAAAATTTATAATTACGTTGATTAAGAATATTTATCTATAAAATTGAGTTATAGATTTGATCCCGCTATCTTCATTAGGCCTGTCAATCTTTTACACAACTCGTTATCTCGATATAAAACGACACAAGATTAACATGTTTCGCGTCAACCTGCTAATAATTCGGATCATTATTGGGTCACCTATTAAAAACTCGATGAGACATTGTTTGTCAAATCTAGACATTAGACATGCCAATTTCTTATATGACCTCTTAACTCGACATAACCTTTTAACAAATCAGATCGTTATTGGGTCACTTGTTAAGAACTCATTAAGATAACAAATTTTACACGATATAATCCGTTAAGATAACAAATATAACACGAACTATACGAACATGACAAATGCAACCTATTTCCCAACTCTACTCTCCACTATCGTCGATTGTATAAAACAAGTTTTCTTTGTCCTTCTCCTTTTGTTGGCTATATAAAGCAAGTATACGGAGAAATTTTTTATTGTGACGAAAATATGGATGGTGCATCATATGTTTTTATGTAAGTGATGAAAAATTTTATGTTTTAAATTATTAACTTTTTAATACACAAATCCTATCATTTATATAATAACACGTGATATACCATATCGTGTGCCGATCACACAAAAAATTTTCTTAAGTACACGTGGTCCTACCGAATAGACAAGTGAAATAAGTCCTCTTTCTAACTAATACAGATGTAGTCCAGAGGGTTCGCCACGTAAAGGAGGGTTTCTAGAAACCCTTGTCTTGCTCGCTAAAATTGTACTCACTACGGCCTCTACAGTCGTAATCCACACTGACAAAGGCATAAATTTATCTTTGTTATTTTGATTGGATAAATAATTGGCACTACCCTTCTAGAATCCTTTCTTTTCTCCCAAAAAATTGAGGTAGTAAGGACATCTCCAATCAACTCGGTTAAATGGTCATAAAGCTAAAAATAGTTAAGAATGACAAAATAACCGTCTCCAACCGAAGGCTAGGTCAAAGAGGTTGTGGGCCCCACCGGGCCCAAACCCCCAAATCGTGGTAGCCAACCAGCCAACCCTTTAGCGCCAAAATGTCAAGCTTGACATTTTGCTAGCCCTCTAGCTAGCTTAACATTTTGTCAGCCCTCAAGCTCAGCCCATTTGAATGCCAACGGCAACTTGGCATCAGTATGACTCCAGCTAGCAACGGCTAGCTAACGTCATGCTGTCGTTAGGTTACCGTTGGAATTTGATTTTTTTTTTTTTTGACGAATTTAAAAAAAAAATTATAATTTTTTTTTCCTATAAATACCTACATCATTACTACAACATTGAAAGCTGAAGATACGACGTGCCACGTAAATAAGAATCATATCTAAAATTTGCACAACCAATTACATCTCAACACGTAGCACTCAAAATCCTATCCAAAAAATTATTAAGATTACATAAAGATAAGAAATCTATAAAGTTACTCACTTTAGTGACAAGTGTCATGATAGGAGCATATTCATGCGACTTAATTAGCTTGTTCTCGTGCATTTACGTTGTGTTTACTTAGTTGTTTTAGTGTTTAAGGCCACTTTTGTGTATTTTCAGATTATAAGGCCAAAGTGTGCAAGAAGATGCAAATTGGAGCTTTTTGGAGCGAAAGAGGAATGAATGAGTTGAAGACTTGAAGAAACGACGAATTCCTACGCCAACGATGAATTCTTACCAAAACGAAGAATCCTACTCAAACAAGGCTTCCTATTTTAGGAAAATTGACCCTAAGTTTCCCGTTTTGGTAACCTTTCCTAATTCTAAACGTCCATATTTTCTAGCCACTTTACAGGCCTCGTATGCACTTTAGGACACAAAACCAAGGCCCTAGCCCGATTTCCCTTCCTAGCCGCACATTTATATTTATGTTTTAATTTCCTATTTTCGTAAGCCTTTGATTTAATTTTAAATAAGCTAGGGTTAGTTTTCTGAAACCCTACACATTTTTACAACCTAGCCGCACCTAATATTCACCCTAATTCTTCCCCCCTAAGCCGCAAGCCAACTTCCCTAAATTCCCCCCAAAACCGTGCATCCCATTCATGCCAATTTTAATCAGCCACGATATCATTTTCTATTCCCCATGCAGCCGCAATATTTTTCATTGACTTTAACATTCACATATATCCATTTTTCACCCTTTGCATCCTAATTCTAATTAATCCCACCATAGCATCCAATCTCCCATATTTTTATTCCATCTTCACGCAGCATCCATTAACAACCTAATTCTCCCATTCTACAAACCCTAACACACTTTCACCCTAACACAATCAGCCACCATATCATTATTTTATTGTTCTCAGCCGCATTGGTTTCCCCATTAATTCCATTACCTTTCATCCCATTTTATTCCACCATATTCCTCCATATTCTAACCTAGCCGCAATTCCCATTCATGCATTTTCTTTATTCGGCCACCATTCCACCCACACCACTTCCCATTATCCATTTCATCCGTGCATTGCCATTAACCCTAACACTAACCAATTTGTGCATTACCTCCACCATTCCATTTCAGCCGTGTTCTAACACTATCCCATTTACATCCATTAAACCGTCCATCCACTATCCCATTTACATCCACTAAACCATGCATTTGATGCACCATAATTCCCACCATCCACACCTTTTCCCTTCCACCAAATACCTTAAACAAACATCCATTCACATCTCTAATCCTCCTATAAATACCCATTCATTCCATTCACCAAGGCATCTCATTTTCCATTGTAATACACAAACACTTCCCCTTCTCCATCTTCTCCATTTCCACTCCATTCCACACTTCCATCCCCCCAACCAACCTATCCTTAAACCTTGTGCTACAACAACGAGGAAGAGAAGAGTGCCTAAACGTTCATACAATTCAAGTTTGAGTTGTTGGAATGTTTAGGTGTTTCTTTGATTTCAAAGTTTCATTTTAATTCTCTTTGTTTTGTACGTATAAGGAATGGAAGAGAAGAGTGCTTAAACGTTCATACAATTCAAGTTTTGAGTTGTTGGAATGTTTAGGTGTTTCTTTGATTTCAAAGTTATGAGGAACTAAACCCTCTTTAGCTAGGGGGTGATTCGAAACTATGTTTATATTTGCAATATGAATTGATTAACTTTCGTTGGAATTTCATAAGTTTTGGATTCAATTTGTTTAACCGTTTGATTGATAACTTATTTATGAATGTTTATTAAGAATGCGCACTTAATTTTCATGCATAAATATGACGCTAGAATATAAGTGAATTTCACCTAATCGTTATGAACTTATATTCACAAGTAGTGGAGGTTGCTTATAAACAATCGCGTTAAATGAATTCTTGGCACGAGTTTCATGCTCATCATAGTAACAAATGCCTCGTCAACACTTATAGTTTTCATAATGCTTAATGATCTTTGATTGTATCTTTATTGTGCTGTTCACGTAAAGGACTTTTGGAGAATGTTGTGAATTGTGTTGCGCAAACCCATCCAATTCATTAACTTAAGGAAAACTTGACGGTTAATTTAA